ATAATTCAACTTTAATATGTTTGTAATACATTTTTATTCAAGTTTAATTCATTTTGCAGCTTCTTATGTCTCTTCATGTGTTACGATTATACTACTTCTCTTCTAATAATTCAACTTTAATATGTTTGTAATATATTTTAATTAAAGTTTAAATCATTTTTTATTTTTTTTTATGTTACTTGTCTAATTAACTATACAAGTTTATACAATCTAGAAACATTGACTATCGTACGAAAAGAAAGAAAAAAGAACAACAACAGAAAAGGGATAAAGAGCAAAAAAAAAGCAAGAAAGAAAGGACAAAAGAAATAAAGAAAGAAAGAAACAAAGAAAAAAAAAGAGAGTGAGGCATAGAAAATGAGAACAAAAGAAATAGTGAGACATAGAAAAGATAAAAATTAAAGAAGTTGTTAGGAATGATAATAATTAAAAAATATATTTAAAATAAGTAATTATTTTGAAAAAGGAATCCACTCAAGTAATTAATTCATAAAAGAATGGTGAAAAACATTAGGCATTATAAAAATTAGGATATTATGCTTATAATTATATATAGAACTTTTGCTCGTCCGATTTTTTTCTTCATTTTTAAAAATTAAATTAAAACCAAATTAAATATTTTCTGATTTTGAAAAGTTCAAAATCAAACGGATAAAATTATTAATTTAGGGTTTGGATAGATTTTCAACTCCAATTTTATAAATTTTCAATAAATAATCTTCTCTAGAATATATGGCTAAACGCTTGCCTAATCTCTTTTCGTGTTTCAGTATTATGCACAAATAATTCAAAAATATTTTTACCAAGAAATTATCAAAAAAATTAATATAAGTAATTTGTCGGGATAACTTGCATCATTTCTTTTTTTAGCATTATTAGTATAACATTTAGTTATATACTTTCTGGCATTACTCTCACGTAAAAATTCTATTCTTCTTAGTTTCTGGCTAAACTAGGAAGTTTTTGTTTGTGGGGAAAAAGTGCAAATTCTTGTTGAATTTTTTTTTAATGGAAAAGTGTCTATCAATTTCTCTTTCTCTTAAAACACTAATTATTAGTACATGGGCAAAAGAGCCCTTAACACTTTACTTATTCATTTACAACTCTGCATGTATAAGAGAACTCAGGAATAGAAGGTTTCGGGTGTATCAATATTGTTTTATTTTAAATATTAGTTTTAAGTGTAAAATAAAAATAATTAAAAAGGGCTTAAATTATATTTAAACCCTGGTCTCCTTTACATTTTATGGGTGCACTGTTAATTATATTCTAATTTCTGTAGATTTTTCAAAATAGATACACATATATACATATGATTATTTTTGAAAGATAGTGGAAGCACGTGCACCACTTCTAAAGGTGTTGGCCCGCTTTTGTCTGCGCATTCAATTTTTATACAAGCAAAAAGATATTCCCTTCGATCACTTTTATCAATTATTCGTAAAATAAATTTTTATTTTTATTTATCACTTTTCACATATAAAGAAAAAATAATTATTTTTGTCCATGTTTTATCCTCAATGTTAGATATTTATGCTCTAAATTATTTTTCAAGATCTAATACTAAATATCAATTAATAGAGATATTTTGATAAAATACATATATTAATAATTAGTTTTAAGGAATAATGCCCAAGTACCCTCCTCAATTTATGCCCGAAATCTCAGAGACACACTTATACTATACTAAGGTCCTATTATCCCCTATACTTATTTTATTAATAATTTTTACCCCTTTTTAGCCTATGTGGCACTATCTGGTGGGTCCAATGATAATTGACTTTTTTTTTCAAACTAGTGTCACGTAGGCTAAAAAGGGGTAGAAAATTACTTATAAAATAAGTTTATGGGGTAATAGGACCTTAATATAGTATAAGTGTGTCTCTGGAATTTCGGGCATAGGTTGAGGGGGTACTTGTGCATTTTCCCTAGTTTTAATGAATGTGTCGAGCCAAATAGTGATTAGTAAAATGAACGGATGGAGTATAACAAACTTACTCCTAATTCTATTAATTATATAACATGATACTATTGTACTTGATACAAAATTTTAAAAAGATAAGATATTTAAAATTTGTGGCCAAAAGTATTCATTGACTATTTGTGTGATTATAAATCATTCCAACGTAAGGAGAAACTTAAAAATTTAATTATTTTCAATTATAAAAAAGTCACTTTTTTTACACGAACTAAGGGACATGTCACAACTCACAAGAAATTGGTTATTGCTAATGGGTTAACAAATTTTTAATGATTTTTATACAAAAATTTATTGTGTTATCGACTTTTAGTATTGGCATATTGGATAAACCTATAATTCATTAAGACGATCGTAATTTACTACTAAACCCTTCATAAATATTAATTTTTAATAAGTTAATATAACTAGACATTTATTGTTTGCTGTTTTATTGGCTTTTTATGTTTGATTTTAGTTTTGCATTTTAGTTATTATTTATCTGTTATGTTGCTTCTTTAGGGATTAGGAATTGTTGTTCAAGAAGTAATGACATTGGTTGTACAAAAAAAATGTGCAAGACATATTCTTGCAAATTGGTATAGAAGTTGGAAAGGAATTAAAAGAAGAAAAATAGTTTGGAGGATCGTTAAATCCACATTTGAAGCTGAGTTGAAGGTTAAGATACATGAAATGAAGAAATTAAGAAAAACATGGTTGGGATGATCTTTTATGGTACAACTTGGATACATGGTGCAAGAAATATTTTTCAAGACTATAGCATACGTGATTCGTGGACAACAATATGACACGGAATTTCAATGCTTGAATACTTCCTACAGGCATAAACAATCATCACAATGCTTGAGGAGATAAGGGTGAAGATGATGAAAATAATTGGTGATTTGAGACGGTTCTCAAACACTTAGATCGTTGATATACATCTTATATTTTTGAAGATTTTGCAAGAAAATACTGACAAGTCTGCATTGCAACTTGTCTTGGGATGGAGAAAGAGGTTTTGAGATTAAGGACTACGGTTTTACACATAATTTGGACAAATAAATAAACATAAAGTAAAAAAAATCATGTCTCGTCCCATCAAACACTGTCCCATCTCGTATATATAGTGGGACGAGATGAGACGTAATTTTGTCCCGTCATTTTCGATCCTGCTTGGCCTGGTCCCGGTCGAATCCCGACCAAGGACTTCCCCCTTTGTCCCGTACCACTATCCCCGTCTCCATCCCCTTGCCAGCCCAACTGGGAGTTGCAGTTGTAGATATTGGAAGGTTAGGGACAATTTTTGTGCTCATGGTAGTGTTATCATTCATTACAAGGAGATGGAACCAAATCAATTATATGGCTAGTTATTATAGCAAGGAGACCTATCTCAACACATATGTCAATTTTATTCCACCAATGAATAACATGAAAATGTGATCAACATCAAACAATACAATTGTAAAGCCACCAAAGATCAAGAAGATTCTTAGAAAACCAAGTAAGGTTAGAAGAAAGGAAGCAAATGAAAGCAACAAACTGGAAAGCTTAGCAAAAGTGGTATTGTTGTGACTTATAGAAAATTTGGTACATAAGAACACAATAAAAGAGGATTTCCTACAAGAAAACAAGCCGATCCAAGTCAATCGGTTGAGACACCTTCTTAGGCAAGGATATATTTTAAATTTCTACTTACTACTATTATATGTATTTGTACTGAAATATCAATATACATGCTACTGATAGAGCAAGAAGCATAGCAAGAGGTACTGGTCCAAGTCAGTCAACTGAAGCATCTTCGCAGAAATATTTTTATTTATTACTTTTAAATGTAAGTTATAAGTACATGTATTGATATATCAATATGCACGCTACTGAAACAACAGTAAAAGGCAGAGCAAGGGATATTAGTTCAATCACCTGAAGCTTCTTTACATGTATCTGTATTCATTTGTGAAAAGATTTAGTTTTAATTTCATGTACTAATATGTGAAAAATCAGGCCACCACAAACAATGAAAGTGGTAGAAAAAGAAGTACATGAAGAGGTAGATTTTCAAGTTCTTTAAGTGATCCTACTCAATTTGAAACTGCTACAAACACAGAGGTAATATATCTAATTATTCTATCATTTATAAACAATATTTATACTCTAATATTTGAGTTTCAAGTACAAGTTGTATATGTTAGAGGTAGAGGTAGAGGATTAGGTAAAGGAAGAAAAATGCCCCAAGAAAGAAATATGAACGAACTACATAGAGGAAGATGAATACATCAATATAGTCAAACTAGTTTTGAAGCACTCTATAGTGCAAGAGGCCTGCAAAAAGGGAAGAGGCTAGTAGAACATGAGACACCAGTGTAGGATAAACAAGGTCTTTTAAAAGGCCAAGAATGGTAGGGGTTGGCATATACCAAGCTGTAGATAGATTTACAACTCTTAATGTAAATTTATATGCATACTTCAGATTTTATGTGCAAGCCTAAATGTCTTTTGATTTGAATATGTATTTATTTGACTAAGCATGCCTGGAGTGCCAAGCAGAATAGTCATGAATACTGGCACAAGAGTGACAAAGAGGACGGGTGTTAATACTGGTTATATTGGATATATACTAAGACTCGAATTCAAATGGAAGGGTAAGATAACTATTACAAGTAGCAACCTAGAAAGAATGAGGGCTCAAAAGTTAACCAAACTAGGTCTACAACTACTACTAACAATAAAAGCCAAACTAGTTCAAATAGGAATACCTATGTGCCATGGAAGTAGCGCATTCTGATGTTGTGTTGTTGATTTTGACAAATAAAGTTTAAATATGTAATTTTGGCAATGTTTTACTTTGGAATCAAACTCAACTTTGTGTGTAACCAAGTAAAACAAGATCAATTTTGATAGTTGCAGTTCAATTAAATGATTATGTTGGAATGAAGTCCTCATTTTCACCATTTTTTGTTGTTTTTCGTAGTTAATACTTGCTTCTTCTTCTCATCTATTTGTAGTTGAACATGTTTTTGAAGTTTCTATAGACACAACCGAATACATTAACAATTCTTCAATCATAATTATTTCGACAATAAAAAATAACGAAAACTTGAGCATTCGACGACAAAAAAAATCAAAACTTGAAAGTAAGTAAAGATGTTTATGACGATTTTGGTTGCACACACCTACATGCTCCATCCTTCACATTCTTGGTTAGACTTAAATATTAGGAAAAAACACTACTACAACCAAGACAATTAGCTTTAAGTTACAACATGAGCTCATCTTCTTCTTCTCTTGCATCATCCATGCATTATTTTCAACACGACATTCATAACATGCTAATGCTTCTTCCAACTCCTTAATTATGTTCGCCAATCTTAAATAACGTATTTTAATCATATATCAACACCTTCAAGATCCCTTCATCTAAAGAAGTTGCATGCATTCTCCTAAAATACGTCATAAAAATATTAAAGAAAAAACAAAACATAGAAATATACGTAAAATATCTCCTGAAATGATTTAGAGACCATACAAGATAACGTGGACAAGACCAAAATCATCGATCTGAATTGTGCTCCGACCATGAATTTTGCATTGAAAGTAAGTCTCCATGTTTGCGTCGGAATTTCACTCACTACATCGATCATTCTCATCATTACTACTACAATTGAACATTGCATTTTACATTTTCCTTCAAAACATAATCACAAAAATATCTTCATTGCTCAAAATTAAATGAAATTATGAAGAAATTAAACCTTGAAAACCTTTAAATTAACCTTTTTCACTGGAAATTAAAAGAGAAAATGAATTCTTACCTTATTGCGCTTGGTAAAGATGATGAATTCGTAAAAGAGAGTACCGGAGTTTATAATGAAATTGTCTATCAAGAGAGGCACCAACAACTCTTTTAATAACTTTGTACCAACAACTCTTTTAATAAATTTGTTTTTGGGGAAGATGATGAAAAGGAAGAAAATAATTAATTGATAAGGGAAAATTAGTGTCACGTGCACATTTAAATTGGTTATTTGCAGTGAAAACACTGCTTCGCACTCCTCTTGTGCGTGTTCACAACCCAGGTGAGGGAATCGGTCAAAATGGTCACCCTTTTATAACGATATTAGAAAATTTTGAGGGGATAATATGAAAGTTGCAAAGTTAAAGATGGTGTTTTTTTGAAATTTTGGAACAACTTCAATGATGACTTTATCTATGTCTTTTTTCTATATAATATGTATTTTCTATGTATAATTATTTATACTATTATATATATATGCTTTGTACATATTTTACAAATTAAATGATCATAGGAAACTTTCACATATAGCAAACATAAAAAAACATATTTGTATGTTATGACTATAGTTTGCATAATTGCGCTCTATAACAAACATAAATATGTATATTTCGCTATATATATACAAAAGAAAGCAGTTGCATAATTTCGCTATATATATACAAAAGAAAGAGTTGTATAATATGTTTTGGTATACATATATAAAAGATCAATTGTATAATCTATGTTTGTATAAAGTGAGAGAGAGAGAAATACAAAAGAAATATGAACAGGGGAAGATCTTATTTGTATAATCATAAGTGTACACAACGAAAACATATGCATTTGTATGTGTATATAGAAATTTCTTTAGCTTTATACAAACATAAACACATTTTATACATTTGCATTTTTTGTATAAAGTGAGAAAGGAGAGTGATCGAGCAAGATCTGGAGAGTGGTGCGCGAATTCTAGGGGAGGGGAACAAAAATATGTATATATATACAATTTTCTCTCGCTTTAAACAAACACAAACACATGTTATACATTTGTGTTTGTGTAAAAATGAGAGAGGCAGGAGAGAAAACGAGAGTGGCAAGCGAAATTCAGCAAGAGAGAGGCGAAATAACAACAATTTGCTATTGGATACAATTAAATCAAACTATATTTATAATATTTAATTTGATTAATAATTTGCTATTATATACAATTTCCCTTTCTAATTATTCTCTTTCCCAAAGGTTAGTTCCAAGCTCCAAATTTCTAACCGACCGAAATTCATTCACACATCATACATCATTTATTTGTTGAAAAATCAACAAAGTTGAAAGGTTTTTGTTTGTGGAAAATATGTGGCACGTCATTCTTGAATATAATTTGTGAAGTCCTCAAGTCAATCAAATTATGACACCTTATAATTATACCCCCTCCCCACCCCCACCCCCCACCCCCACCCCAATTTTCCACCAACTGATCTCTAAAAATTTTTTATTTTTCGAAAATAAAAAAATTCTATTTCATTTCACTTATATGAATTGGATATGAATTTTCATGTTAATCCGTTTTGTTCATATTTATATGAAATAGGTTGAAAACTATATTAATCCATTTAAGAAAAAAAAAATATGAGTGATTCATTTAATTTAATATGAGCAAACTAATTTTATTTCACTTATATGGCTGAAATTGTAACCCCTGATAATATATAAATACTCTTAAAATAATATCTTCTTTCTATTTAATAAATACTAGAGAATATAAGTAAAAAACTTACTTTTTAAAAAATATTTCAAAGAAAATTATTTTATGTGAAAAATATTTTCATTAGTACCAAACACTAAAATTAAATTAAAAAAAAATATATACACCCACCTCCCTCGAACCATTGTTGTTCTTCATTCCGATCTCCACCGACACTTATATCATGTACTCGTTCCTTTTTTACATTTTATTTGTCTTAATTTGTTTCTCGTATATTTATTTAATCATAATTTTCACTTGTCTCTCTTAAGATTATAAAATTAAATAGCATTTTAATACATTCTAACCTATTTTTAGTTTAATTTAAAAATCTCTACTTTTTAAAACTCCATTAAATTAAAGGAAAAATTAATTAGATAGGTGTCTTTCAATAAATAATTGCTGCTTTTAGTCATATTTTTTGTATTACCATTTATAGTAATACATAACAATAGTATAGCTGCAATATGCATTAAAATGAATAAAATATGCAATATATATGTATTATAACTATTTTTAAAAATATATTATGTTTGTTCGGTAAGAAGTTGACACATTTATTAATTATAAGTGTATTTAAATGTGTGATAAATATATTATCCATCAATAAAATTTGTATTATGTGTGAATAATTTCCTCTTTTTTTGTAATATCTATTAAAATTGTATTATAAATATATTAAAAATGACCAAATAAAAAAAAATGTTACTGCTATAGATAATAAATATTTTTACTATAGTATATTCATATAAGTTTTTTCCTAATTATCAAATGTTATTGTTTTCCCAATGATCAAGGCTACTAATCTTTTCGAAAACTGTTGCTAAGAATCAAAATTACATAAATTTCTCTCTTTTAGCATGGGATATTAGTAATCATAATGACTTAATAATTGAGTAACCTATTTCACTAATGTCTTTAAAGAATCTTGATTATAAGCCCCTTAAGGGTACCAATATCAAACATTAAATATGTAGGAAATACTAGAAATAATTACTCCTTTCATTTTAATTTATATGGCATTTTTGAAAATTTGATATTCAAATCTTTGACCGTAGGTTTTTATATGCCATTCAAATATTTTGAATCGTAAAATATTATCACTAATAGTAATTTTATATAGTTATTTAGATATATTAATTAGTTTATTTCTAAACATTAAAAGATTTCATATCCGAAGTCTTCATCAAATTAAATAGGTCTGATTCTTGAAACATGCCACATGAATTGAGATAGAGTGAATAATAAAAAAGCATGATTCAGTATATATTAATATATCAATTAATTACTCTTTATTCTCAAACTAGTTGGCATCAACACAAGATTCAACAAGTAGGGAAATAGACAATTATTACGATAGAAGTACAACCATTTTATTTCAGTACAAAAGTGTCACTAAAAAGCTAACATGGCTTACGAATACATAAAATGAGTACAAGTTACAATATAATGCCATACATATATAGATGATAGTGTTTAGACACTTTGAGGAAGTGTGGAAAACGAAAGGCGTTTTCTGGTCATCCATGAATGATCATCATTTGTGAATTTTTATTTGTTAGAATCCTAACAACTTGGAGTGGATACTCCACAAGTTTTAGCAACTTTTTTGGCATTAGGAGAGTTGACATATTGCTTAAGGCTTGGATTCTTAAGATATCCACAAAGACAAGGCTTTTGCTCTTTCAACTTATTGCAACATTCCTTAGAGGGTGGTTGTGATGACAGGATCGCCGCGGCACATGGAACTAGCTCTGTAACACTGCATGTCACGGCCTCCGTGACAAGCAATTCACTAAGAAAAAGGACTAACAATATTGCAATAAAACTACTTCCCTTCTTCATATTCAAAGATTTTGGAGAAATTTGAGTAATAGTAAAGGTGGAGAGCTTGTGAATGATAGGGTCTTAATTTATAGTGGCAAATCCACACTACTATGAAAAAAATGACACCAATTGGGCCACATTGTTGACTTATTTTTTGTCATTGGCCTATAATAAAGTTTATCCTATTACAGATGGTGCTTTGGGCAATAATTATTAGGTCAGTAGGGGCTCACTAAACGTACAATCATGTCTCCACCGAAAGGAGATGTAATTTATTAGTGGGGTTTCATCAAGTTTCATCCTACAATTTGAAAATATTGATTTTCAAAGAAAAAAATAAATATGAAAATTCAAAGTTATATTGTATTTGTTTAGGAATACAAATTGAAGTTAATTTTAACTTTTTGTTAATAATTTGAAGTAAAAAATATGGCTAAACTTGATTTTCGGAGTTAAACTATTAAAAAATGAATTATGAGCTAGCTATTTATCAATATATATATATATATATATATATATATATATTTTTTTTTTTTAAAATAAAATATACCTTATATATACGCTTTGTACATATTTTATAAATTAAATGATCTTATGATTCTAATTATTTTATTTCCTAAAGGTTACTTCCAAGCTGCAAATTTCCAACCGATGGAAACCTTTCACACATCATACATCATTCATTTGTTGAAAAATCAATAAAGTTGAAAGGTCTTTGTTGGCACGTCTTTCGTGTGGAATATATCTTGGAAAAAGGCACTACTCACTATTAGTTCTTGGGCCTAAAAAGTCCTCAAGTCTATTATATTAGGACACCTTGTAATTACATTAGGCATAATTTGTCACGATCTAAAAATTATGATGATGACACTCCAAAACTCAACAATACGCAAGTAATACGAAAAATAAACTAATAATAACACAAGTGCGAAAACATAGTCATTCTCAAATATCCAAAAACTTGGTTGTTACGTGTACTAGTCACTAATATATAATAACAGAGTTTGAAAGACAAATATAAGTCTTAATGCCATTGTCTCTCGAATAGAACAAAACATAATCAAGAACAAGAGGGTCCGCCGGGATGACAAGCAGCTAGCTCTCAATGTCCACATATTAGCCTCAGATATAGATAGAAGAAGAGCAATCACCCATATTCAGGTTAAGAACCTACACAACTCTATAAATAAGGAGTGAGTACCAAAAATACGGTACTCAACAAGCTCCCCACTAAAACAAGGTAAAACTAGCTAGAAAAATGTGAACTCCTTTTATCCCAACTGACCACCACAACTATAACTAGCATAGAAATTAACTCAACCTAATAGTTCACAATAACATTTCACAAGGTTTCACAGGCATAGTCCAACAATTGCATTTCATCAAATCACAAGTGTCAAAACCATCAAGTATCAAGACCATCAATCAAAAACATCAAATTCAAGTCCATCAATCTTAAGTATCACATTATTCAATCTCAAGTATCAAGTCAAGTTCATCAATCTCAAGAATCATGTTATTCAATCACAAGTATCAAGTCATCAATCACAATAATTAAGTTCATCTATCAGAAATATCAATCGGGACTCACCTAGGCATCAATAACACTTACTAACAATGACATTGACATCAATAACACTCGCCAACAATGACCTTGAAATCAATAACACTTGTTGGTAATGGACTAAACATCAATAACACTCGTCAATAATAACCTCAACATCTAAAACACTCACCGGCAATAAAATTGTTATTAATAACACTCGCCGAAAATGATGTTGGCATCGATTACATTCAGTGGCAATTATGACTTTGATATCAATAACACTCATTGTCAATGTCCTCAGCCCTAATAGCTCTCACCGATAATGACCTTAGCATCAACACTCACTGACAATGATCTCGACATCAATAACACTCACTACAATGACCTCTGTTGGATTTAGCAAGTGTGAATGGGAAAAGAAAAGAAAGAATATGAAAAGAAAGAATATGAAAAGTGAGGAAACTATTTTGGAGGAAAAATGAAAAGTCATTTACAAAGTGCAAATGAAAAGTCATTTCTCCCATATCGACAAAAGAAAGGGAAATTATTCTCCTCATATAAGGAAACACTTCCTTTACTTCTTAAAGAGCTAAGAAGAAGGTGCCATCGCGCCGTCGTTGTCGCTCGGCCTCGACTTCGGCTTCGGATTTGGATTTGGATTTGGCAAATGATGTGATTGTTTGATAAATTTTTTGGACAAAATTTATTTAATCAATTTTTGTTAATCAAACAAATCATGTTAATATTATCTCTTATAAATTAATTCAGCACGTTAGTTAATTAAAAGAATTAATTCACGGGTAACGATAACATTCCAAAAAATTGTTACTCTTCTCGAAAAGTTATTACTTTCCGAAAAGTCGTTATTTTCCTAACAGAAACATTTTTTGAAAAGTTGTTATTTTTTCCAAAGACACAACATTCTGGATAAAACGGGTCTGAACAGTTTTTTCTGAACAGACATGTTTCTTACTGAAAATGGCTATAAAAGGAAGTCATTTTTCGTTTTTTCAAACACTGAAATTTTCCTTTTTTGCATACATTTTTATCTCAAAAAAATCAAAGTGTTGACCGACTAGTCTGTGTGACTTGTTGCTGTTCTTAAGTTCGCTGAAGTTAAAGAAGTTTGAGGTACCGCTATTTCTTTAACAGAATTAATCCGTTTTATCTTGGGAGAAATTAATTCATAACCTTGGACACAGTGAGAGAATTAAATTTCTTAAGGAGTCACATTAGTTTATGTGGATCGGATTATTTTGTATTTTTTCTGCTTCATCATATTTCTGTTTCTATTTATTGGCTAACCTTATAAATACAGGTTATGAACAACTTCCACATCAATAACAACACATCTCATCACAATGTTTGAGAACTGATGTAAACAGGCATGTTCACACAACAATGAGAAAATGACAAATTCAATTAATTCATATTCACAATAATGCTATCAAAGTATTTCATCAACCAAAAGTTTAATACCAACACTCAAGGAAATTGACACAACTAGATACAACATTATAAAAAAGTTGACTTTTTATTAACCTCAACTATATCATTAAGGTTTCTCAATTTGAGCATATCCCTTCACCTTATTTCAATTACTCCCCAACACATAAAGAAAGAGAGTTCAAGATTCTAGAAATTTTGACGAAGTCTAGAAATTCACTTGCGTTAATCAATCACAAATCAATCCCAGGAAATGAGCTTTTCCTTTCCGAACGATATCCAAACCAACACAATCTAGTTAAACAAGTATGTATAACGAGATTTTGAAACTAACAACATTCATATCAAGACATCTGAATAAATAGGTCAATCAGCTCAAAAACTTGATATCAAAAGTAAGGTTTGAATCTAAAAATTGTCACTTGAATAGGTTATATTTAAGACTCATAGGTGAAAACCATTTTGAAAATGGATTTATATTCAAATCAAAATCGTGATTATCAAATTCCTTCAACCTTTTCAAAACCCTTTTCTGTTGGGAAAAACAAGGCACTAACAAAGAATGCCTGACAGGATAACAGGGGAAGAATACCTAAGTCTATACTTTCCTTTCTCGATTTGAACCAAGAGAAGGCAAACAACCACAAGCAATATGATAGTAAGGCAACAAGTAATTCAACCAAACAAATATAACAAGGCAATAATAAACCAATCACACAAGACACCAAGATTTACGTGGAAAACCCTTCGATGTGAAGAGTAAAAAACCACGGGACCAAAAGCTCCACTATAATCACCAAGAGTTACAATATTTTTCTCTAAAGTTGGCCACAAAACAAGTGCCAAACAACGATCAACAACAAAATAAGACTGCACCAAATCTAGAGAATTAAAGGAGCAAAATCACCAATTTTGCAGCTACTGTTCACGACAGTAAAACTAAATCTGCAGGCCACCAAATCCATCTCTGTCAGTTCCTAATCAAAGATTGAGATGAATATAATATTCTGTCCAAAAATCAGCTCAATCGGACAAGAAACGAAGCAGAAATCGCAATTTGAAGTTGGCTGTTAGGGCTGAATTTTGACTGCAAAAACTGCTTTCTTTCTCTCTTTTTGGCTGCTGAAAAAACTCTCTGTGTATATGAAAATAAGACCTAAATAGGCTTACATTTGCCTCATAAGAATGGGCCTATGGGCAAAAATGGGGTTGGTCCAAATTGGGCTTTTATTTATCCACATAGGAAGGGAACAAGGCCCATAACCCAACAATTCTCCCCCTCACGACTATGTGGAGGAGACCGTCATCCCGGCGACCATGCAACAATCTTCAAACTTCCCTCTTGGCAAATCTTTAGTCATCATATCTGAACCATTGTCATTTGTATGAATCTTTTCAAGCTCAAGCAACTTAGAATCCAACACATCTCGAATCCAATGGTATCTCACATCAATGTGTTTAGACCGATCATGGAACGTAGAATTCTTGCCAAGATGTATAGCACTTTGACTGTCACAATAAAGCACATACCTCTCTTGAGCACAACCAAGTTCCCCCAAGAATCTCTTCATCCAAAGCAATTCTTTACAAGCTTCAACGACAGCAATAAGCTCAGCTTCTGTAGTAGATAGAGCAACACATTTTTTGCAACCTAGATTGCCAAGACACAGCTCCCCCTGCAAAAGTAACCAAGTACCCTGAAGTAGACTTGCGCGTATCAACATCACCAGCCATGTTTGGATCAGTATAACCACAAAGAATAGGCTTCCCTGTACCAAAACAAAAACTCAGACTAGAATTGCCATAGAGATATCTCATAACCCACTTCACAACATTCCAATGTTCTCTTCCCAGATTAGAAAGAAAACGGCTAACAACTCCAACAGCGTGAGCAATATCCGGTCTTGTACAAACCATCGCATACATCAAACTACCAACAGCTGAAGCATAAGGAACTTTCTTCATATCTTTCTTCTCATCATCACTAGAAGGACACTGTTTCGTGCTCAATTTGAAGTGCATAGCTAAATGTGTACTGACAACCTTAGCTTTGTCCATGCTGAATCTGCGAAGTACTTTCCAA